GCTCATTTTTAAGGATGTTGTCACATGACCATTGATGCAGTTACCAAGAGGTCAGATTTACTTACTGTAGGTTCTGATTTACTATGGTATAGCTTGATCTTAGGATTTGTACTTTTGGCAGGGTTTGGATAATAAAGGAGTGTGAGTCCCAAAAAAAGTGACAGCTGATATTTAACAGAAGTTCCTCTTTGTTCTAAGGCTGTGAATATAAAAGTTGTTCCCCAGTGTTTGTTTTTTAAAAAAAATAATTTTAGCACACCAAACCCCTACAGATGGGTCTTTGTAATATGTCTGTTGCCAGGGCAGGCAGACCTAAATAGAATTCCTAGAAACAAACTCTATTTGTAGGCAAATAAACATAATTTGTAGAAATTAAGACCAAAAATGGAAAAAAATAAGAATGTTTTCTTTTTTTCTCTGAAGAATAATTACTTTTCTTCCTACTTCTGGGGAGTCCATTACATGCATCTGCTTTGCTTTGCAAACTGATCAAGGGAACATTGCAATGTCATTTAAATGGAGTGTTTAGAATGTCATATGCTTTTACAACAACAAGGTTTTCTGGGCATTTTATTTTTCATGTTAATCATACTTCTAAAGTTTTGTGTTATTTAGGATGTTTTTGTTTTTTTCAAGATTATTAGAAATCAAGCTTTTCTGATTTCTTTGATATGCATGCAAACAATATCTTACGAAGTTGAATGAAATATTCACTGTCGACCTGAAGCTTTGTCTATATTCTAAGCCACACACAAGCAATGTCATCCTTACACACAAACTAATTCCACTTTGAAGGGGACAAAATGTGTCCTGATTTTTTTTTCATTAGAGTTTCTATATTTATAGCTTTCTGCGTCAGAGAAGAGGTGTCAGTGAGTGGACATATTCCAGGTTTCCATAACAACCTTGGCATTTCAATTTCTTCACATTTAGCTAGGCAGTATTTTTTCTGTGATTCATCAGCCAAATATTGAAAATGATCATGTTCGGAAAGGGACATCAATAGAAGACCCCCGTCTCTCCAAAGAGAACAAAATGAAATCACAGCATTTTGCTGTGAATTTTTTGATACAGATAAGCTGTTGAAACGGGAATCTGTTCTTGCTCAACTCTTGGGAATTGACTGAAGGCCTAAGGTCAGTGTCTGCTCTCTTTAGATTTAGCCACCCCCCTTTTAACAAAGTGCTTCTTTCAGCACAACATTATCTGGAGCCTAGTCTCAATACTCCTTAGTAAAAACCAGTTTTCAGATGGATAATTATTAACACAGAAGCCGTGATAGGTGCGCAGATGCTCGTCTGACAAAAGAGCAATCATAAATTTCCAGTAGTGTCTCCTTCGCCAAGCAAATGAAGATTTTATGGAAGTACAGTCAAACCCAGTGGGAAAGCAATGCACACAAGCTTGAAAATCACAGTCTCTGAAATAAAACAGTAGTTTGGTTCAATCCTCCTTCAAAATCATGAGAGTCATTCACAAAAAAAAACCAAAACATTTTCAGTAATATAAATATCAGTTTGTAAGTCATTGTGAGACAGCACCTTTTACATTTAATATTCAAAAAATGATGAAATATGAAAATAAAATCACTTTCTGAAACTTCGCAGTGGAAAGCATAGAAAACACAAAATCACGCTTTTTACATAATTATCCATCTGTATATTGGAAAAGCAACATATTTATATTCTTTCAGCATCGCATGTATTTACTGCAGAGACCCTTTTCTTCCAATTTGTCTGTGTTTTGTTGTGCGTTTAGTGTACTTCATGAGATGGAACTACAGTATTTAAATGTGTTTATACTCTCATCCTCACCAGGAGACTTCATAGGTATGGGGCTGTTATAAATTACTTTCTTACTGGGTCTCAGTGCTTGTTGTTGGCCTCACTCCCAGCATGTTATATATGATAAATGGGGTGAACTATAGAACAACTGACTTCAAGAATCACACAACTGTGAGCATATTGCAACTAAAGACTCCAGCCTTGTTGTGGTCTGATCATCATTTAGTTGTAACCAAAGCACCATGTTTTGGGTATAAATGAAGGATTATTATTGAATGCAGTTGATTGTTATTCCTTTTTTTCTTGTCAGGTGAATCATCGGCACACAAAACGTTTCTGTTGTCCTCTGGTCAATATAATGAGCTTGTTATGAGGAGGTTCTTAATTCAAACCTTTCTGCTAAAGTGTTTCCTGACCAAGTTACCTAATCTGCTGGGGTTCTGCCCTAGGCTCCTGATGTAAAACTGAGGCTGTACTGTAAGTCGTACTGCAGAGGTTCTTGTTGATAACCTAGCTCACTGCCTGTTTCTGTAATGTTCTTTGAAGAAATGTGTGCTAAATGAACAAGTACTGATCATAAATGGTAGGCTGCCTAAAAAAATCAGCTTCAGAAAGCTAAGGGTTAATAACAAAAACAACTGAAGAGTCTGCCGTTGGAACATAATGTAGACAGATATGACAGGTGTTAAAAGACATGCCATATCAAATTACTGTAGTAATAAATGTAGTTCACAAGGAGAAACTATATTTGTGGCCTATACCCTCTCCTCAAGCAGAAATGTAAACAAAGTGAAGAATACACAAGAAATAATCTTGTTAAATATAAGAAAAAATTATAGGTGAACATGCTGAAACTTTAAATAACCGCTTTAAAACTCACCTCAGTGGTCAGAATGTTTACCACTGACATGAATATATATGAATATACTTTCTCTGCAGCAGGGTTTGTGCATTATCTTTCTCTTGTGCTACTGTGTTTTCTTGCAGTTTATCTAAGATGGAAGACAATAGGAGTACAGTAGGTAGCACACAATGCATCGAAATGCTTTGATACTCAGGAGACATGGTGTCTAGGCTGACAGACCAGAGGAAGTGCAGGAGCTCTCTTACTTGACAGCTATTCAGACATTGCTAGGATACTGCACTGTGACCTCACTTCTGCAGAACGAACCTTGTGATTGGTCACAGACTCTTTCTGCTGACATCATGTTGTTGCCGGGTGAAAAACTCCGGAGGCGCAGAAAAGTTGTTTTTCAATGTGTTGGTTGAGCTATGCGGTTTTGACAGACTGCAGCAACACAGTGATCTGTTTTTCATTTCTACATTTGTTTGTCAGAGTTCACAACCAGCTCGATAAATTTTTAAACTGTCTTATTTTGTGTGTGAAAAATAACAAAATTAATTTACACCTTTTTCAAATAGAGGAAATAATAATAAATATTCTCATTTTGGTACAGACACAGTTGAAACAGAAGAAAAAAATAGTGATGAAAGGACAATGTTTGGTAAGGACAAAACCAGCCTTACACAAGTCCAGCTTAACTGAAGAAAGCATAAAACCGGTCCACCATTCTTTACAATCAGCCACATTCCCTCTATGTACCAAGTATTAATTTTATTGATCAGCTTTCTATTATGTTTATTGATTTGTTGTTGTAACGTGAAATACTAGCAAAGCCTAATGAATAGGAACAGATCCACATATCTGTCTTTGCTCAAGTGCAGTACCAATCGAGGTCAAACACAGATTAAAATTTGGTCATGACACTGAGGTTAACATCACTACTCTTTCTGATGATCAAGTAGTTAAGACCTTGGTTTAACATCTCCAAAGGACAACATCTCACACAATAAAGTGTAGGAGAAGCAGATCGAGAGAAGTGTAGAGACGCTGTCTTAATACATTACATTTTAGGAGGGATTCTGATTTAGAGGTGTTAAAAGCAAAATCCCACAAATGGTAGATTGACCACATTGGCTCCTCAGCCATGCACATACACCAGGTGTCTGTACCTTATTTACAGTATCTTCGGTTGCATATCTAAAATTCGGCGCCATGTCGAAGGATTTTTGTAGTCAGTCTACAAAATGAAAATATGACTTTTTGGTTAAGTTATAGGCAATTCGAAACTGTCTTTCTCAATAACCTAAACACTTTCTGTGACATTGTGCCTATATTAGGTGTAATATGTTAACTAAAAAATTACAAATTTACATTGGGAACAGCTAAACGCTACTGTTATGTTGTTTTTGGAAAACAAAATGTGACTGTGGAACACGTCATTTTTAGATAAGGGTTATCTTTGAAGGAGGACGTGGAGATAGAAAGCAACTCAAAAACTAGTAACTGCTTATTGATTAGAAGTTATTTAAATCCATGAAAGTGTATTTTAAAGCACGGAATACTGTCAGCATTCACAAAATACGTACCTACAGTAATAATCGTTAAGTTGAAAAAGCAAAACGAACAGGTCTCATTCCTTCGTTTAATACATGTGTAAAACGGTATCCTAACCCAAATGAAAATATTGAACGTTCAGTACAAATCCAACAGGTCTTCACACTCATAAAACACGGTAATACCGGTGATACATTCAAGCACTATTTTAAAGTTAAACGCTGCTAACAGGTGTGTCACAGTTAAGTCTTGACACAGTTAAGGAACTGTGTTTCTTCTGTCCCCCTCTAAGAGATGTAAAAGATTCTGATCTTGAGCGCTATTGGAAAATCTGTTGGACACATTATAACTGTATAAATCAATATTGGCACTGGTTGCTCGAAATTGCAAACAGCTGCTTTTACATCCGTACAGCATCAGTGTTATTTGATTTAATTAGTCTGGAAATGGAAAAACTGTGCAGAGGATCACAAGCGTACAGTGCTAACCCTAACAGCAATTCGCAATGAATTGTCTTGTAGTTTCATCTACTGTAAATTTGTAGAACCTGATATGTCTGATATTACAACAAACTGTATGTGATGTGATAGTATGTCCGATCGCTCATCGCGTATCATCTGTTTCAAAAACATGCATCAGTTAAATATTTTGTTGTTGTTTATAGCACATTTAAATTGCATGGTGTGTCTTAAACCTTATCGCATTAGACTTATCGCTGTAACGTACTGGGTAACCGGTAAGTGCTTAAGCAACAGTTGACCAGCCTTGATGAAACCCCAGATAGGAGCCTTTTTAATATCGCAGGAGACGGACCGAACTTCTGCAGCTGCAGAGCGAGAGCCGACTCGAGCTCAACACCCCGGCGCTCAGCCTCTTCAAAGTAACTATTGGCCAGTAGGCGTGTTTTAACTTGGCTCGGTCTGAAGTTGGGACCCAGCAGTGGAGGTGTGGGCTTCTGTGTGGGGAGCGAGAGCGAAGGGGAACTGTCTGCTGTGGTGATACAGATTCCACCGGCTTCGTTCTTGAGTGCTAGAACACCCCCATCACCAAATAGCCACCCCAAATGACACCCAGGGACCTTCGGCTCTTTTAGCATTCCGGAAAATGCACCTTTTATCTGTCAACAGCTGGGAAAAAAGCAATTAGACCTGCAGTCCCAAACCAACGTCCAAAATGAACGTCAATCCCGATTCTCTCTCCAGTAACAATTCGTATCTGATCTGTAACAACTGTCAGAAGGTGCTCAGAAAAAAGGTACTGTGCTGATTAATTTGCTGTTTACTCTGCGCCGGCATCTGAATTTTAACTTTGCAGGGGTAGGAGACTCTGGGTAATGGTCAATCACGGCAGTGAATTTGTTGAGTTCTTTGAACAAAGCTTGCAGTTTTGGGGGGATTGCATTGCACGATTGTTCTACTAAAATCTGTTTTGTAATAATGTTTTAACAGTCATTATGTTATGTGATTTTAACGTAGATATACGTCTTCCAGTAATTGCTGCATTTTGTATTGTTAGAATTTTAAGACACGGAAAAAAATATATTTTTTTATTGAAACAGAACTTAAAAAACAACTGTTTTACTGCTTTTTGTTCGTAGAAGATGAACAGCGAATAGTTTGTGTGACAACACAGTTGAACGTGTTTACTGTATTCTTGAACATAAGTTTTGAGAAGAAAAATGACTGGACAGTAAAGTTAACATCTTAAGCAAACGTGTGTTAATCTGTTATTAACTTGCACAACGTTTATGGTTAAGTGGAGGTGAATTGGAACTGCTGAGCTATGCTTTATTAAAACTGGGCAAACCATGTCTGCATTAAATAAACCATCTAGTTTTCGTACCAGCGCAACAAGCTGTAAAGTGATTTACCACCTTTATTTAGGGATTGTAACACATTTGGGAAGCTATTCACAAGTCATGTCGCCTCTTTTAATGTGCGGGTACGTGTTTTTTTTTCTTTTTTTTTTTTGTGTGTGTAGCTCAAGTGGATTTGTGAAGCAAAAGAGGCCGTGCTCGTGGAGGGGCTGTGGGTAACTAGGCTCTGAAGAAATGTATTGCAAATTTGACAGTTATCTTGGAAGGATTATTTCAAATAAATACTATTTGTGAATTCGAGATACTTTGAAAACACGTCTTGCCTCACTGCCTGAATCATCTTGGAAATAAGATCGGTGAAACTTGGTTACTTTTTAAACTGTACAATATGGATTGGATATTTGAGAGGTTTTGATTTAATTACTCAGTATAATCTTTTGGTTCAGCCATGACATCCTGAAAATTCTTGTAACATTCTGATACAAGCAACAAGTTTTCCTGTGCATTCTGATACATATTATACTGTGTATGCATGTCATTTAAATTGAATAATGTGATGGTGATCTTTAATGCAATGCACATTGATTAATTTACATTCCTTCCTGCAAACTGGCCACTACTTTCATCTTTATATATGCCTGATGGTGAATACAGTATTGTTAGAATGTAAGTGCACATTCATGACTAAAACACTATATCTGGGTGACACACAGTAAGGTACTGTATGTCCAGTTGAAAATATTACATGTGCAACTTCTCCTGTTCAGTTATTTTAAGTTGTGGTTGTATTTACTTTCCAGGGTTATGTTCTTGCTTTAGAATAGCACTGAGCTTGCACACTAGTCTGGGATGTTGTGCATCTCTTTCAGAGAATTGTCTTGTTGTATTGTATATTGTATATTATTGCTCAATGCTGTTAATTTTGAAAACAAATTATTATTGAAAACCGCCAACAAAACACTTCTGTTTTTGCCACATACTGGCCCTGCATAGTTTCACAAAGAAAGCTTTAAGTAGTAGTTGTAAAAGTAACTTCTTGGCTTGAAATTAAGATATATGAGTTTTAGAGTTCCAACTATACGGGCCCTATCTGGTACCTATGCATTCTTAATAATGAGGGTTAAGTTGCATTAAATCATCTTAACTCCAAGGAATACTCTCAGTGGATTTGGAAAAGGGCTAATTACGTACCTTTTTTCATATAGAATGGTCTTCTCTAAGCTATAAAGTATAAGAATAGAAACAAAGGCTTCTTTGTCAACTATCCAATGTCCAATGTCTTATGCCAGTGCTTACTGTGGATGAGAAAACAAAGATTTCCAACTCTTAGAACTTGTTATTGGTAACATGGATAACAGAACAGCACAACCACTCAAAATATCTGTTCTTCTTCATATGGTATGGCAAAGGAGCCCTTTCTCTTCTGATTGACTCCTGATATTCTTCATTTAGAACTGCTATATTGGACTGTGGCTTATGTATGTATGCTTTGCCAATCTACTGCCTGTGTCCTGTATTACATCGGTGTAATCAGTGTTATCTGTACTTCTGGCTGCTGTGGGTTTGCTGTGTTCTTCCAGTTATGCTGTTTTGAAGGTTAGAATAATTCTGTTTTATGGTTTTGCTGTACTTCAGAAGTTCCATATTTTTAGATATTCTACAGTTAGAAGTTTACAAGTTATATACAGTATGTCAATATGACCCTCCTGCTGAATTTTTTAATTTATTCTTCAACTGTTTTTTTCTTTTTTAACCATGATATGTAATGTGTCAGAGATTATTATAGCCCATGTTTATGTACAGTAGGTTCCTAGGCCGTGTTTATGAAGTCCAAAACTTTTGACTCCTGTCAAAGGATGTCTAGTCAAATATTCAGGAATATTGTAAACATTTTCTGTAAACATCCTATATTTCAAGTTGCAAACAAACTCATCAGAATGTTGACAAAGGTTGTGGGGAAGCAGAAATTTCCTATGGACATCTGAAGCATTGATTCATCCATTTATTAGTGTATAGAAGAGTCCTGTTGGTTGTTGCTTTAAATGTCTGCTAAGGTTGTATTGTATCCCAGTAAGCATTTACTGAATTTAAGTATTTTAATGTCCTGCAGGATGCAGGAGGCATTTTGTTGACCCTTGCAAGCATGTTTTGATGACTCCTTGAAAGAGACTTTATTACCCTGATTTCCAGATTTGGATAACTAGACTGATCACCTCATGTGTCTGCATGCCATGTCTGTCTTTCCCATTGTTGGCCCTACATACAGGCTTTCCTATGGCTCAAGCACTAAACTGAAGCTAAAGCACTTCACTTCTCTTATTCTCCCAGTTGTCGTCACTCTGGAAAATGAGTAATTAGCCCCCGTTCTTCAGTAAGAGCATCCAAGCAAGTGAATGGCAAGGAAAGGATTTTTTTAAAGCTAGCTCTAGCAGCCAGTCATGTGGCACGTTGTGAATTTGAACACGTTCCCAGTTTCCCACCTGCTTTCTTGGTTCTGTCCAACACGAGGATGAGACCACATACTGCCCCCTGACCAGGCATTACCACTGGTCAGACCTGCCAAACTCCTGGCTAACTTAGGGGGCAGGGAGACCTCACATAATAGGTCTTAAAGGGCAATGATTCAATGCATCTAACCTAATGCTTTAATAAACACCCATTTTCCACATGTTCTTCTGACTGTATTTGTAGCCTTTCAGTAAACAAAATAAAGTACACCGTGATTTGGCTCCGCAAAGATTTGTTTTTCAGTCTCCTTCATTTTTAAGTGGTTTCATTGTCTTTTCAAAAGAACGAATTTAGACTTTCAAAGAAATGCCCTAATCTGCAAATCAAAAAAGATTTTTGTACTTATGATTGCATGAACAAAATAGTTTTAATCTTTATGGATGTTCTCTTTTTTGGTAGGGGAAAATTTCTGAATAGATCAGCGGCAGGGAATTCATGCGGTTTCTCTGACAAAAAGATAGGAGGTAAAAAGGGATTTTTGTGGACTGGGATTGGTTTTTGTTTTCTTTTCCCTGGACATTGTAGAAAGTTTTTTTGGGGTCTTTGTAAAGCCACCATTGTTTGCTGGTAATCTTTCTGTTGAGTGGCTGCCAAGTTGGAAGTAAAGAGCTCAAGCTGCTGATTCAACACTGTGAATCTCACTTCCCTTTTCAAAGGGACTGCAGCTGTATGGCCCTTCACAGCTACAGGAAAGATGAGAGAAATAAAAATAATGGAAAGTTTATTTTTAAATGTTCAAAACCTTAACACCATGCTGTTAGTCAGTGGGTGTTCAGTCTTCATGCTTGGTCCCCCTGCCTCTGTGGCTGCTGCTATGCTCTCGCTTGCGTAGGACATGGGAGGGCAGGTGATAAGGGCAGTGGTGTTGCGTGATGCAGGCTGCTGGAAACCAAGCGAATGAACCATAAAGGATAAGAGCTGAGAAATCAAATGAAATTTTAGCCACGCAATTTCAGTTTGCCTAAAAGTAAGACTCATCCAGTCTGGCTATTGACCTACTAAAACTGAGCAGCTGTATTGTGAACGGCTGTTTGGAGTAGGGGTTTGGACTCTATAATAACTGCATGATTGTGGGTTTGTGCAAAGACTGGTGGATCGCAGTTTTACTTCAAGGCACTACGCAGATCTCTTGAGGAAAATGTTCTTCCCTGGTCATCACTGATCTACTTTTCAGACTTAATAAAGGATTATTATTGATATCATATTATCATTGTGAATCCCTTCTCAAAACTCTTCACAACTGAGTCAAGCTGCAGTAGGACTCTGATAAGGTACCACAGAAAATGTGATTCTGTACCACAGAGAATAGACAGTAATCATTCTAGTTTTAGTGTGGTCCTTCTTGAAAGCAGCAGATCAGTGTCATTCAAAGAGTAAAGGCGTCTTCAAGCTGCTGAACACTCATGCAAAGATGGATATTAATGATGTCTAGCCACAGTTAGGAGGAAGGAGATTAGTAGTTTATTTCATACTAATTAAAATTAAGAGGAAGTCTTTCAAGAAGTTTCACTTTGCCCTAAGGTACTGTGGATCAGAGTTCAAGGTACCAACCACCCAACCACTGTTTCAAGGCCTAGTGGGATAGCTTTAGAAAGTCATGTTCTACTGAAGGCTCAGAAGATAATCATCTTCTCAGAACTACTCAGAACTTTTTTTAGAGTCTCATATGAGGTCAATCACATGAAGAGAGGTGATTTATACCACAGAATGTTTTTTCTAGATACCACAAAATAAGGTGACTTGGCTGTTAACGTTGCACTGCAACACTGTTGCCAACAGGAAGCCACATATCATATTTATGTGCTTTTCATACTCCACAGAATAAGTTTTGATAGCTGCTGTTCTTCGAAGAGCAGTTGATCAATAATTGTCTCTAGTCCACGTCTTGAGCCGACTCACGGCTAGTCATATTTCAAACATACCCTACATT